ATGTATATATGTATGTATGTATGTATGTGTATGTATGTATGTATGTAGGGTTAGATGGTCAGATGGTTTGTGAATCTAATGAGAGAGTCTTCAATTTATCAAAGTATCGTATGATCGGACCCCAAGTAGATTCGAATTTCTCAGGCTGTCGCCGCAGCGAGAACTTAATTTTCTCCAATTTTAAAAAGAACACCAGGTCCTTTAACCACATGGAGGAACTGGGAGGACGAGGTGACTTCCAGTCTAATAGGATTCTCCTTTGTGCCAAGAGGGTTGAGAAAGCAATTATGTTTTTGTGTTGCTTCATTAACGTCTGACCTCCACTCCCCTGAACACCAAAGATGCACATCCAGGCGTTGGGTAAAATATTCAGATTAAGGGACTGTGATAGAACTTTGAATATTGTCTCCCAGTAATTTGCCAGTTGGGGGCAGAACCAAAACATGTGAGTAAGATCTGCTGGTGAGTTGTGACATCTATTGCAGTTGTCCTTTACATTGGAGTCAATTTTTGAAAGTTTAAAGTTAGAGTAGTGCAGGCGATGCAGTACCTTGAATTGTAGTACATTTAACCGTGCACACGAAGAGCTGTTATTGACTCTAATTAGGGCCTGGTTCCAAAATGAGTCTGGTATGTTCATGGCAAGTTCTTTTTCCCAGTCTACTTTGATTTTGACAATGTTAGTCACAGTAATTGAGTTAATGGTTTGATATATTCGGGATATGAATCCTTTTTTCCTCTGGTGGTGTGTTCAGAATGTCCTCATACACGGAGTCTAGCAGTGGACTCGGAAAATTGGGGTTGTTAGATTTAGCAAAATTTCGCACTTGAAAGTAGCGAAACAGATGGGAGTGAGGGATATTATATTTCTTAAATATATCCTCAGAGCTTCCGAACACCCCACCAATGAACCATGTTGAAAATGCCATTTTTAAGCCATAGCGAGATTGTGGATTCCAGAAACTTGAAGGTCTCCACAGCAGACACAGTGTTGTTGAGTGTGGTGAGGGGGGCAGTGTTGGGGGGGCTCCTCCTGAAGTCCACTGTCATCTCCACAGTTTTGAGCCTGTTAAGCTACAGGTTGACCACACCAGAGGACCAGCTGTACGCAGACTCATCACCGTCCCTGATGAGGCCGATGACCGTTGTGTTGTCTGCGAACTTCAGGAGTTTAACAGACGGGTCCTCCGAGGTGCAGTCGTTGGTGTAGAGGGAGAAGAGCAGTGGGGAGATCACACACACCCTGGGGGGCGCTAGTGCTGATAGACCGGGTGCTGGATGTGATTTTTCCCAGCCTCACCTGCTGCGTCCTGTCAGTCAGGAAATTTGTGATCCACTGACAGGTGGAGGCTGGCACAGTGAGCTGGGAGAGTTTGGGTTTGAGTATTTCCGGGATGATGGTGTTGAAAATATTACACAATCTGCGTTTCGTTCAACTTTCACAAAACTTCCAAACGAGGCCTGAGAAGGGCAGACTTGTCATGACCACGCCCTCTTAGAGTCCTCTTAGCTACCCTTTCAATTAGCCTGTGAATTCCTTATGCTAATTATAAGCACTAATGCTAATCACTAGCATACACATATCCCAGCCTTGCATGTAATCTCAAATTTACAAATATTTACAAGAGTTTATATTGTATTGTCACTGTAACAGCCCCTTTACAGCACTTACCTCGCCATAATCATAACAATGTTCAGTATACTTGCGATTAGTGCTATCCATTAGCATTAGCGATTAAAATAAGCTAATTGAGAGGGTGACAGCTCTCATGAATGGTTAGTTCCAAACGGTAAAATTCCAGTTAATTGTTACGGTAACATGGACCAAGACCAGCATTTTATTTGATGCTTTTTATGTTCTTTAACTGTACCATGACATCCTGGTGCAATTAGCAAGCAATCTAGCTAATTAGCCCATACATGAGTAAAATCATTTGTCTAGACACTCACTATGCTGTTACAGCGTAGTGAAGCACAGTGAGCGGACTTTGAGACGATCACCGCTCGGCGGCCGACCAGCCAGACAGACAGACCTGCCGGACCAACCGTCACCAAACTGCCCCAGAGAGGAGAGCCGTGATGGAAGCTAAGCCTGGACATCGTAGCTGCAGATTCAAGGATATTAATCAATTCCCTGCATTTCTGCATTTTACTACAGTATTTTATTTCTTAAACTGCACTGCAACTTTTATTCTATTTTTAGTTTTTTTAATGACTTTTTAATGTTTCAATCATTGTTCTTAATTGTTTTTAAATCTTTTTCTTTTGCCTTATGTTTTGACGGTTTTATGTGAAGCACTTTGAATTGCAAATGTGCTTTACAAATAAACTTGCCTTGTTGCTGTGCTGTGATCTTTGATGCTACACTGGTTAGAGAAAATGAGTGGACGATGGACGCGACATGCCGTGTCTTAGCCCCCTCCTGCTTTCAGTCTCCAGGGTCGAGACGGCCAAAACTCTGAAGGTTCAGTTACTCTTTAACAAAGGTTCCCAGCGCTGCCGAGTCACAATCAGTAGCAAACAACTGTATAACCATAAAATCTGCTATATAAGCTCACTGCAACTTCAGGTGTGTTTGAAAGTGTGCTGATTAGATTAATTATTTGTGGAACACTGATTGCTATATATGTGGTACTGTGTGGGTTCTGTGAAGGTGAAGTCATTTCTTCATCTTCTAAAATGTAGCTACTAGATGTTATGCCACTAATTCTTCTTTTAGATGAAATCCACACTTTTTTAAAACAACGTGACAGCAGACTGTTTGCTCAGACACTTCTAGAAACCTAACCAGCACCACAAACGCATGCTGGTCTATTTTAAACCTTTTGACCAGTGAGCATGTTGTCTCACTCACACGCAGCCACGTTTTTTGGTTTTGTTTTGCACGGTCGGGTTATAAACCTCAGAATAAAGTTTATTTTCAAAATAAACAACCTTTTTGCGGCTTTTTATGTCTTACAAGATACCAGTGTCTATTTGGTGCTCTTCATCATGTTTCAGATGTCTGTGAGATGTTATCGGAGACATTCTCCCTCTAAACTCCTCAGTTGGTTCAATTTAATTACAGTTTGAGGCAAAAAGAACAAAAACAACCCAGATTCATGCAAAAAAACCCTACACATTTGTCCACGGTGGCCGACGCTGAAAGGTGAATGTCCCAATGGAACAGAGTTAATGATTCCACTTGCCATCACTTGCTAATATTACTGTATTATTTAAGTTATTACTAAGCCATAGCATTTTCATATTTTCTCAGATAGAAAAACTGATCAATAAGCGTAGACCTAAACATCTCAATTCAAATTTATATCGGAACAAATATAACATTTATTCACAATCTTGGTGCTTCTCAAACTGAACTGCTGAACGGTGCTTCATACATTTAATGTAAAAGCATCAATCGATGATATGAGTCACTGATTCTCTCTGATCACATGCAATCCTTTTGACTTATCCGTGGTTCATTGTTATTCATTTATTTTAAATTTAATCTAATGTTAAAATGATATTAGTTAAACTAATGGTGTCGTATCACTGAAGCTAAGTACTATCATTATTTTTTTACGAGCTTATGGTTCATAATAAAGTTATTAATAAACATTACATATTTTGATGTTAATTGTTATTTATCAAAACTGCTACAAGCAATAACGCTACAATTATTATTATTATTATTTAACTGAGTAATAATCATTCATCTTGTTGTTCCTGCCGGTCAGTCAAAGGTCAGTCAGATATTATTACATCATTATAATATTAAAGCCTGATAGGCAAATAATCGTCCCAGAAGTTTGCATGAGCTGCACGTCTACAGTCACCGACTGACAGAGAGGATCAGAGAAGAGACGAGGATGGACAAACTTCTTCTGAGCATCGTCGTGTCAGGCAAGACTTTCATATCTTTTTATTATTTCCCATCTTTAACATTATAATATTGTTTAATAATTTGTATATATATACATATATATATATATATACATATACATACATACATACATACATATACATATATACATATATATACATATACATACATACATACATACATATACATATATACATATATATATATATACATACATACATATACATATATACATATATATATACATATATACACATATATATACATATATATATATATACACACATA